AATTTCAACAAAACAGAAGCACAGAAAAACGAACGTTTCCACATGTGCATTCTCTGCTATGACGACATGAGACACGGAACCAGTTTCCATGCCAACGCATGGAAACCTCGCGTGGGTCAGAGTGGAACTGTTCTATAGGTTTCCCGAGACTGATTTTTTCAGAGTAGACCCACAACCCTTAAAACAAAACAAAATTTAACAAAAACTTGGTATATTATTCACATACCATACAATTCAATAGTTCAATCATTTTAAGAAGAGTTCTGCAATATGCGATCATCAACACAATCAGTTTCCCATGAGGCAGCTCTGGGTGAACCCAAACCTCCAGTCTCTGGGTTCACTGCCACGTAGGGAGTGTGGAATTATCCGTTCTTGCTTGAATTCGTACACTCACTCTGCATGGGGCGATATAAAGAGTACTGACATGAAAGGGAACAAGCACACACGCAGGAGCTGGTCAGGAGACTGACTCCGCCCTGCAGGGTAAAGCTGCCCTCGGCCGGATTGTCCTGTGACCTTTCCCCTTTTGAGTTGTGACCTTTGGGAAGCAGATTGCCAGGACTTTCCTCCAAGGTTGGTTCCAACCATCAACTTTTCCGTGAGAAGCCAAGTGCACCATCCAGGGACTCCCAAAGCTTGATCCAGGCATGTTCTAACGACAAGAATACTGGCAAACACAAGAACCGGTCCTGCCGTGGAGGATGCGATTTTCTGAAATATTAAATAACGCCAATGAAACAAAGCGCACCGTGTGATAGCCTTCCATTTCACGACCTGTGCAGCCATGGGAAAATCCAGTCTATATAGATTTAGGAAACCGTAGAGAGGGTATTCATTCATATTTTCACACACACAAAAATTAAGAGCCTATTATCTGTCTAGGTCCCTGGGTGACATAAATAAATGGTTTGCTCTAGGCTACTCATCTGAAGGTTGGCAGTTTGAAGCCACCCAGTGGCCCGGTGGGAGAAAGAACAGGCAATCTACTTCTGTAGACACTCAGTTCAGCTCACTGCCACCGAGTGGATTTCCACTCATAGCAAGTCTACGGGCCTTGCCCCACAAGTTTTTGAGATTGTCACTCTTTATGGCAGGCGTCCTCAAACTACGGCCCTTGGACCACATGCAGCCCTCCGAGGACATTTATCTGGCCCGCCGGGTGTTTTTGCCCCATTTGTTTTTTTACTTCAAAATAAGATATGTGCAGTGTGCATAGGAATTTGTTCATAGTTGGGTTTTTTTTAACTATAGTCCGGCCCTCCAACGGGTCTGAGGGACAGTGAACTGGCCCCCTGTTTAAAACGTTTGAGGACTCCTGCCTTATGGGAATAGGCAGGCTCTTCTTGCTCCTTCAGAGCAGCTGGTGGATTTGCTGACCTCTCAGTTAGCGGCCCTATATGTAACCCACTAGGCCAAGTCCCCAGGGCTCCTCAGGAAAGAGCAGAGTTGACAAAACCCTCAGGATTGTAGTTTGACTTTGTAACGCCGGCGGGCTTCCAGGAGTAGAAATTGCCTCAAAGGCAATGAGCTTGTTTGTCTTTGTCTTCCCTGCCCCTCTAGTGTCTGGCACTGGGCAGACTCAGGGTACAGACCTAACTGCTTGTCAAGAAGAATACCCTTAGTCAACCTTTGATTTTTGCTCTTCTTTTAAGTTTTTGCTCAAATATCACCTTCCAGTGATGCTTTTCTGGACCAACATACTTAAAATTTCAATTCCCCACACTCCTTGTTCCCTGCTTTTATTTTCTCCCTATCATTTATACCTTGACAAAACTCATGTTTCAGTATTATTATCCGTCTCACCTGGCCAGAATCTGAGTTCCTGGAAGACATATTTCTGTCTGCTTGGCTCTCTGCTGCATTCCCAGCCTCTAGAACAATGTCTGACAACAGTACAGTAGGTGCTCAATAAAAGTTCTTAATGACGAATAGATAAAAGAATTGTTAAAGTGTTAAGTGTTGGGGAGATCCCCTTACAGAGGGGTCTCAGGGAGGAGATGAACCAGTCAGGATGCGATGTAGCAATGATGAAAAATACAACTTTCCTCTAGGTCCTAAATG